TTGTCTCTAGAGAATTATCTAGTTCCTTCCCAATCACTTTCCCATTTTCTCCAAGGTCGAGGCCTGGAGGGAAGGAGGCACAGGAGGTTCCCTGCAGGCTTACCTATTCAGTGGGTCCTCGAGCTCCCTGCCAGGCCCCCAACTATGTCTTTTGAAGAGGTCATAGTTTCGGCCGTGGGCCCGGAAAGCCCCTGACCTTCGGAGGGGCACAGCGTGCGAGCCATTCCCCTCCTTTATTTCCCCCACCTCTTCTTCCTCCAGTTGCTCTCTGGATTCGACAGCAGAAAGACAGCGGTGAGTGTGGCCTTGGGGCACCTGGTCTCTACCTTCGAGGAACACCTCTGGAACGGCTCTGCTCATGGGAGACACAGGTGGGCCAGTCTGCATCAGGAAGAAAGAAAAGTGTGAGCAGGGTTCTAGAACTCTGGAACCTTGGAACTAGAAGCATGTCACAGTCAGCTGGGCTTGGGAGCATCTAGCCACCCCTCACTTTACTGAGACACAGAACTGGAGAGTGTGTGGCTCAGGGTCACGCTGTGAATCAGCTGCAGAGTCAAGGCTAGAACTTAGGTTTTCTAGCTCTCAGTTCAGTGTCTTCTCGTAAGTAAAGAGACCCTCATTGTCTCATTCCATTTACTGAAGATCCAGATAGCAGAAAGCCAAGGAAAAAGAAATGGCTATTCTTCCTGTCCTCAAGGAATCACAGTCCAGTGAGTGGGTGAGTGTGTGTGTGTGTGCACAAGCGAAAGCACACATCACAAATGACTCCGTCACCGGCTCGCATGTGCCAAATGCCGCAAGAGAAGTTTCGACAAAAGCTTGTGGGCTGTTAAAGGAGGGAGTGCATGAGACCAGTTGGGAGACTCAAAAAAGGGAAACAGGTCAGGTGCGGTGGCACACCCGCAACTTTGGGAGGCTGAGGCAGGGGGATCACGTGAGCTCAGGTGTTCCAGACCAGCCTGGGCAACATAGCGAGACCCTGTCTTCACAAAAAATCAAAAGTGAGCTAGGCGTGGGGGCATGTGCTTATAGTCCCAGCTACTTGGGAGGCTGAGGTGGGAGGCTCACTTAAGCCCAGGCGTTCAAGGCTGCAGTGAGCTATGATCATTCCACTGTACTCCAGCCTGGGTGACAGGGCAAGACCTTGTTTGCTTTGGATTATTATTTTTTTTTTTTTTGAGACAAAGGCTTATTCTGTTGCCCAGGCTGGAGTGCAGTGGTGTGACCTTGGCTCACTGCAACCTCTGCCTCTCGGATTCAAGCGATCCTCCTGCCTCAGCCTCCTGAGTAGCTGGATTACAGGCGTGCACCACCATGCCCGGCTAATTTTTGTATTTTTAGTAGAGACTGGGTTTCGCCATGTTGGTCAGGCTGGTCTTGAAGTCCTGACCTCAGGATCCACCCTCTGCGGCCTCCCAGTGTGCTGGGATTACAGGTGTGAGCCGCTGTGCCCAGCCTTTTTTTCTTTTTTTGAGATGGAGTTTTGTTCTTGTTGCCCAAGCTGGAGTGCAATGGCATGATCGTGGCTTACTGCAACCTCTGCCTCCTAGGGTCAAGCGATTCTCCTGCCTTAGCCTCCTGAGTAGCTGGGGTTACAGGTGCATGCTACCACGCCTGGCTAATTTTTTGTATTTTTAGTAGAAATGAGTTTTCACCATGTTTGTCAGGCTGGTCTTGAACTCCTGACCTCAGGTGATCCACCTGCTTTGGCCTCGCAAAGTGCTGGGGTTACAGGTGTGAGGACCTGGCTTTGTTTTTGTTTTTAAAGGGGAGGGGGAACAGCAGGAGGTAGAGGGCCTTTGACATGTGCCTGGAGGGGTAAAGTGGTTAGGATTTGCCCAGGGAAGAGGGAGAGGATTTTAGGTAGATAAAGTAGCAGGGGGAAAAGGTTCATGAGTGATAGTGTTGTGATTTCTTCCTTTTTTTTGAGATGGAGTTTTGCTCTTATTGCTCAGGCTGGAGAGCAATGGCTCCCAAGTTCAAGCAATTCTCCTGCCTCAGCCTCCCAAGTACCTGGAACTGCAGGCACCTGCCATCATGCCCAGCTAATTTTTATATTTTTAGTAGACATGGGGTTGCTCCCTTACATATTAGCCAGGATAGTCTCGAACTCGTGACCTGTGATCCATCTGCCTTGGCCTCCCAAAGTGCTGGGATTACAGGTGTGAGCCATTGTGCCTGGCATGATTTCTTCTTCCAAGAGTCTGGTCATATGGAGAGTGAAAGCCATTGTGACCTCTCCCCACATTGCAGAGAAGGGCTCCAAGCATCGGCCGCAGAGCACACATTTCCTCCACTATCTCCCCAGTGGGCATTGCTCTAACTTCCCAGCACTCCTGGTTGGCATCAGGGCTTGCCTCAATGTGTCTCAGAGTTAAGAACACTCAGATGCTCTTAAAGTTGAAAGTGATAAACCCCACTGCAGAAAGAAGTGCCAAGTCCCAGAGTACCAGGGGCAGGAAGGGCAGTAACATTTACTGCATACCTCTGTACACTTCACTCCCAGGTCATGTCTCTCTAGACCTTCTGCTAGAATGAGTCTCCCAGGCTCCCTTTCTCCTGGGAACACTTCCAGCTACTAAGATGTCATGAGTGCCCAGAAGGATCAGGAAGCTGGGACCCAGAACCTTCCCTCTTTCCAGGCTTACTGTGGGGCTGTCAAACTTCCTCCAGGTTGTCTTAACCACCCCAGGAAAGTTCAGGTTATTGGAAAGTTGTCCCTTCAATCTACTTTCCTTCCTCATTGCAATCTGTCCATTGCCTTCACCCCAGCCAGAGCTGCCGGGAAGAAAGTGCTGTGCCTGGGGTGGCTGTGTGCCCGTTTACCACAGAGAAGGGAGGGAGGCAGGTACTCAGTCCTCTGCAGATGGCAGTGCTGCTCCCCCACTGGGAGGGTCTAAGGAAAGAAAGGGAGAAGCCTGGGAGAGTGGCCAGGCCCTGTGCCCATCCGTGCTCATCGCGTCTGGGAGCGATGGACAGGGAACCCCTCAGCCAGCCACCAGGAGAAATCCTGTCCCTTCTTGCCTACAAACAGGCCCTGTGCCATCAGGTATGTTGGCTACACACAGGATGAGCAGATCTACAGGAAGCAGGTCAGAGCTGAGAGCCAAGGCAGGGTCCCTCCCAATCAGTGGCCTCCAAAGCTGAGATTTGGAGGCAGAGGGAGGTTGACAAAAATATTATGAAAAGCTGGGGTGGAAAAAAGAGTAGGAACTGGAGATATACTAGGAAAAGGGGAACGGGGGCTGGAAATAGGACAGAAACTGAGAGGCAGTGAGGGGGAGGCAGGGACACCGGGTGGATCTTGGGAGCTCTGGAATTCAGGGACCTTCCAGAAGCAGAAGTTGGTTTGAACTGTATGCCGTGTACCCAACTTTTACCTGATAGCCTTGTTTCAGCCTGTGCCCACAGGGTTAATTTTTTTTTTTTTTTTTTTTTTTTTTTTGAGAGAGGCTCTCTCTCCTCTGTTACCCTCAAGCTTCATGGCTTACTGCAGCCTCCACCTCCCAGGATCAAACAGTCCTCCCACATTAGCCTCCGGAGTAGGTAGG